CAAATTGTGGCTCATCTGTACAGTTGAGAACCTGGCAGAAATACACATTCCTGGGCCTCACTCCTCAACACTGAGTCAGGGACTCTGAAAAGTCTGCATTATAACAAGCCTCCAGGTGATTCTGATAGCCACTAGGGTTGCAGAACCACTGCTCTGCTGTGCGCAGAGAATCAACATTTATTCCCTCCTGGAGATCAAACTTGTTTGTAGGGCAGTGAAGGGGAGAAGTATGTTTGCCCATAAATTAGGTACAAACTGCAAACTTCCTGCTTGACGTCCCATGTATGCACAGTTCCACATGGTTGGCTCTCATTTAACTTTATGAGCAGAGCCTTACAATATGCCAATTGTTTGCAGCCTTCCCCCGCCCCCACAGACCTGCCTCCAACGACCAAAAGGGAACTGGGCTTAGAGAGTGCCTGTGCCTGGTCTAGGGATATCCGTGGATCAGTCTGGTTCCAAAGTCAGAAGCACCTAGATTTTGAGCTACCATTTTTGAATTAGTCTCATCTCTTCTTCGTTTAGCTGTAAATTAGAAATTAATATCTGCGTACACTCACAGAGGCTGCTGGCTTAAAAAGTATCCTGGGGTGGGAGGCAGTGGCAGCAGGTGGCATGGTGGTTGGGGTGCTGGAATCCCACATGGCCAACTGTGGTTCATGTCCTGGACTTGGCAGCTTGCTTTCTCACTTTCCCTTTCTCTCTGTCTCTCTCTCTCTGATAAGCAAATTAAAATAATAATAATGATAATAAATTAAAATTAAAGAAATTCTTTTTTAAAAAGTCTCCTGCCCAAAATCCCAAGAGGAGAATGGAGGAGAAGGGATTGTGGCATGTCCATCCCCGCAGGGGTGATTTCTTACTTTCTGTCTCTCTGTCAACCTCTCTCTTTCTTTCCAGTGATTGTACATGCCCTATAGCAAAAATCCCTCTCTAAAAAAGTTAATGACTCCAGGCAATTGTGCTTTGCTTCTTAAATGAAGTGTAATCTGAGACATGGAACAACAGTGGTTTCAAGAGCAGTGACTGAAGAATCAGTACTGCATCTTCTGCCTTCCTCTGTTTAGCTCAAAGCAAATGCTATGATAGAACTGGTAACGTGGAATAAAGCTTTGGGAATAAATTTACACCACGGGTCCGTATCTCAGAGAACATGTGTTTATTACCCATTCATGTGGGACCAGCTGTTTCTGTCCTATAATCTACAACTGTTTACTAGTCACTTTGGTGAAATTGTTCTTCTTCTTTGCCTGTGTGCATCATAATCACCTGGTAGCTAGATGAAACATAGATTTCTGGGCCCATCCCACAGTGTCCCAAGAGGCAGGCTTGAAATAGGGCCTGCCAAGTTCCCAGGTGATGCTGATGATGCTGGGTCAAGGACCACAAGGCCCAATACCAAAGCTTCTCAAATTGTGGCTCATCTGTACAGTTGAGAACCTGGCAGAAATACACATTCCTGGGCCTCACTCCTCAACACTGAGTCAGGGACTCTGAAAAGTCTGCATTATAACAAGCCTCCAGGTGATTCTGATAGCCACTAGGGTTGCAGAACCACTGCTCTGCTGTGCGCAGAGAATCAACATTTATTCCCTCCTGGAGATCAAACTTGTTTGTAGGGCAGTGAAGGGGAGAAGTATGTTTGCCCATAAATTAGGTACAAACTGCAAACTTCCTGCTTGACGTCCCATGTATGCACAGTTCCACATGGTTGGCTCTCATTTAACTTTATGAGCAGAGCCTTACAATATGCCAATTGTTTGCAGCCTTCCCCCGCCCCCACAGACCTGCCTCCAACGACCAAAAGGGAACTGGGCTTAGAGAGTGCCTGTGCCTGGTCTAGGGATATCCGTGGATCAGTCTGGTTCCAAAGTCAGAAGCACCTAGATTTTGAGCTACCATTTTTGAATTAGTCTCATCTCTTCTTCGTTTAGCTGTAAATTAGAAATTAATATCTGCGTACACTCACAGAGGCTGCTGGCTTAAAAAGTATCCTGGGGTGGGAGGCAGTGGCAGCAGGTGGCATGGTGGTTGGGGTGCTGGAATCCCACATGGCCAACTGTGGTTCATGTCCTAGACTTGGCAGCTTGCTTTCTCACTTTCCCTTTCTCTCTGTCTCTCTCTCTCTGATAAGCAAATTAAAATAATAATAATGATAATAAATTAAAATTAAAGAAATTCTTTTTTAAAAAGTCTCCAGGGAATACATGATGATCTACATCTAAGACCTGAGACAGGCCACTTGGGGACAGACTAGAAATGATAGGCAAGTCAAGAAAAAGGAAAATAAAGATCAAGAGAGAGGGCCTGCCCCATAGCACTGCAGTTAGTGCTGTACAGAGGAGCCAGATTCCCACATGGCTGACCATGGTTTGAATCCCAGCCCTGGAGGCTTTAAAACTCGTCAGGCATGTGCATATGTGCCCAGAATCCTGACTAGATAGAGAATGGAGGGGAAAAAGGAATTGTGGTAGGACTGGGACCCACTGGGGCGTGCATTCTCTCTCTCTCTCTCTCTCCCCTCTCTCTTTCGTGCATGCACATGTACATCTGGCAAAAATTTTAAATTAAGAAATAGAAAGGTAGATTGGGTTTACTTAGAAACTCACATATTCTCCTCCCCAACTGCCCCAAACACTTATCTAACCTCTGTCCAAGACAGTGGTCCTACATTACAGTCACCTGAAGAGCTTTCAAAAGCCTAAACGCTGATGGCCAGAGCATCCTAGGCTGATGATGTCGGAATCACTGGGGCCAAAATCCAGGCATCCATATTTGTTAAGAGACGACTCAGCCAAAACACAAGCCCGGATATACCCTTCGTAAGTGAACAATTAAGAAGCATTTATCAAAGTTTTAAAGATATTTTAAATATAATTATCTCTTCAATTTCACAGCTAGGAACCCATTCCAAGGAAACATTTACCCATGTAAACAAAAATGAAAGACTACTCAGTGCTGGGACCAGCAGATGCTGTAATAGTTACCACACTGGACTCCCACAGTTCGAGTCCTGGACCTGGCGGCTTAAAACTCATCATGGGCACGTGTGCATGCATGCCCATGATCCTGAGAGGAGAATGAAGGAGAAGGGATTGAGGTGTGGCCATCCCCTGTGGGGGTGATTTCTTGCTTTCTGTCTCTCTTTCTCTGTTTGTCTGTCTGTCTGGCAAGCATACAAGCAAAAATCTCTCTCAAAAAAAAAAAAAGGCTATTCATTGAAACAATTGTAATAGCAAAAAAAGAAAAACAATCAAAATGTGCAACAATGAATAATGTATTGCATAATCTTAGAATAAAAAATTGTGGGGACCAGCAGTTAGCATAATGGCTATGTCGCTGGACTCCCATGTAGTCCACCGTGGTTCGAGGCCTGCGTCCAGTGGCTTAAACTCACGCTGGGCGCGTGTGCATATGTGCCCAAGATCCCGAGAGGAGAATGGAGGAGAAGGGATTGTGCCATGGCCATTCCCCCTGGGTGATTTCTCGCTTTCTGTCTCTCTTTCTGGTGAGTACACGCACCCTATAGCAAAAACCTCTCAAAAAAAAAAAAAAAAGAAGAAGAAGAAAAATTATGTAGTTCTTAAGATAGAAAAAGGTAAAATGAGGCTACTTTGTATATAGGAATATGAGGAGATTTCCAGGCAGAGGAAGCAGCACAGCAATGTGCTATTCAATGGCATGCCGTAGCCAAATGAAGGTGGTCAGTGTCACTGAAAGATACAAGATATGGAAGATGGAATTAGGAAGGTGTAGTAGGATGAATGCTGGCCCCTAAAAAGATATGTCCATGTTCTAACCCCCAAATTTGTGAGGAAAGGACCTTTGCAGATAAAATTAAGCTAAGGATCTTAGGTTGAGGCAATTATCTCATAGTATCTGAATGTGCCCTTAATCCAACAGCAAGTGTCCCTATAAGAGACACCCAGAGGAAGACACAATGTAAAGATGGAGGCAGATATTGCAGCCATGTGGCCACAAGCCTGGAAATATTAGGGTAGCCACCAGGAGCTGGACGAGTCATTGAGTGCTATCTTTCCTAGCCTTTCTGGAGCAAGCAGAGCCTTGCCAATGACTTTATTTTTGACTTCTGGAACTACAAAAGAATAAACTTCCATTCTTTTAAGCACCAAGTTTGTGGTAATAGGCACAGCAGCCTGAGATACTAATCCAGAAGGCCACGAAGGCCAGAGTTTAGAGGCCTTCAGTGATCTCGTAGGCTATGGTGGGGACTTGGTATTCATTTCCTAGATGGGAAGCCAGAAGAGGATTCTGGATAGAAAGTTAACATAAGCAGGCTCATTTTCTAACAAGATCACTCTCGCTCTTACGACACAGTAAATTGTATAATTTTAGATTCATTGATTTTGTGTGTGTGTGTGGGGGGGGTGTTAACCAAAATAAAGTTCATGTTCTTTCTTTTTGAGAGATTTTTGCTATGGGGCAAGTGAGCTGTCTGGAGAGACAGAGAGCCCAAAAGTGAGAAATCACCCCCTGGGGGATGACTGCACCACAGTCCCTTCTCCATTCTTCTTTCAGGATTTTGGGCATACACACACACACCTGGCATGAATTCCAAGCTGCAAGGTCCAGAACTTGAACCATGATTGACCACACAGGAGTCCAGCACTTTAACTAGTATGCCACCTGCTGGCCCCTAAAATTCATTTTCTAACTTTTGAATTTCTTCTTTTATTTTATTTGTTGTTATTCTCTTTTTATATTTTTCTATAGGGCATGTGTGCTCACCAGAGAGTGACACAGAGGGAGAGAGACAGAGGAAAAGTAAGAAAGTGAGAAAGCAAGCCATCAGGTCTGGGACGCAAACTGTGGTGGGAGTCCAGCCCATGAAGCACCACTCCCCCTACTGGTCCTTTATTTTCTTATTTAAAAAATAAATTGGAGTAAATAGTAAATTGCTAAAATAACTAATGAAAAGCAAACATTTCAAAGCTAGCCCATACAACCAGAGCCTCCCAAGCAGTCTGTCCCGACTTTACCATCTGGTGCTTCATGGAGGTCATCAAAGGGCCCATGGTCCTGGTGGCAGATAAGCTGCCTCATCAGAATGGCAAAGCTGTACACATCTCCCTTTGGGGTGCCAGACCAGGGCACCTCCGGAAGCCGCAACAATTCTGGAGCCGTCCAATAAAGCTCTGCAAAGCAAGGGGATGCCCACATGAGTGAGGCAACTGCAGTATTAAGTTGTAAAAGCCACCCCTTCACTCTCAGGGAAGCACAAGAAGAGGAAAGCAGTCAGCCCCTGAGAAATCAGGTCCTACGGTGTCTGATTTGAAAGACAAATAAGGGTCCCTGCGTGTGAATATGGAGAAATGAATCAGGAAGGACTTGCACTGGCATATTAACAGTGGCTTGCTTGTGACCAGGGAATTAAAGGGGATTTTCGTTCTTTCTCCTTTTTTTATGTTGCCCACATAAGAGGACAGCCATGTAGATGACAGAGAACTACCAAACTTTGCTATCTGTAGAGTACCTGGCAGATCTTAGCTACCACACTGAGAACATAGCATGATAAAGAAAGGGATATAGAGGACTAAAGTAAAAGGCAATAGTTACTGCTTCAGGTGGCCCAATGGAGCCAGGAAGGGAACCAGTCCCCTAACCTAGACATCATACCATGTACTCAGGCCACCTGGAGGGCTGTTAGTTTTCTAGTTCTCCTTGGGTGAGAATAGCCACACATCACCAGTTCCAAAGTAAGGCCCACCCATAGGTATCTGTGCAACTGAGCACCAGGAAGCATAGATGAGACAGGGAACCCTTGGTGGTTCTGCCAGAAGCTAGTGGCTGCAAGATTTGCCAATAGTTACCTGCGTGGTTGGTCATTTTCTCATTGTATGTTCTGTACGTCTGGCCATACTTGAGTTCCCACAGCCCAAATCCCGACAGCTTCACTTGCATCCGACCATCCACCAGACAGTTGGAAGGCTTCAGGTTGCCATGAGAGCCCAGAGGGCTCCTGTGCAGAAACAGCATGCCCTGCAAGGGTGACAATGAGCAAATGAAGCTGTGCAGGTGCCAATGGCCACTGCTGGAAGAAACAGAGGCAGAGAGACAAAGGGATGGAAATGCAGATGGGCCCAGGGTAGGGGGACATGTCTATCTCTGTGTTCATTTGTTCAAGAGCCACCAGCATAGTTTCTTGTCTATGGAGTTGACTCCTCAGCAAGGACACCAAGAGAGGAGAATTTTTTTTTTTAAGACAGAGTTTTTTTGCCGTAGGACGTACTGTAGAGAGACAGAAAGCGAGAAATCACCCTCGGGGGGCGGGGAGGATGATCATGCCACAGTTCCTTCTCCATTCTCTTCTAAGAATTTGGGGCATGCATGCACACACGCTCAGCATGAATTTTAAGCCTCCAGGACTGGGACTCGAACCACAGTCAGCTACGTGGGAGTACGGTGACATAACTGTTACACTATCTGCTGGTCTCAAGGAGAAAATTATGTCTGGCTTCTCAGTATTGAGCCAAGAAGGCAAGTCCAGACTAAAATAAATTTATTTTAGTGGTCAGGCTCCTATGCTCAAATCCCAGATCTACCATTTAGCAGAGGGCAAGTTACTTTAATCCCATAATTCTTTTTTTTTTTAAATATTTTTAATTATAAGGAGAGATTTTTGCTATAGGGCACGTACACTCACCAGACAGACAGAGAGAGACAGAGAGACAGAAAGCGAGAAATCACCCCCCAGGGGGGATGATCACGCTGCAATCCCTTCTCCTCCATTCTCCTCTCGGGATCTTGGGCACGCGCCCGGCGTGAGTTTTAAGCCACCGGTCCGGGACACGAACCGCGGTCGACTACATGGGAGTCCAGCGACATAGCCATTACGCTAACTGCTGGTTCCCAATCCCATAATTCTTATTCTTGTGAAATGGAAGTGACAATGTGGTGGTCAAGATTAAAGTGAGGTACTAGTAACAGAGAGACAAGATATTTATGGGACACAGAAATAGACTGTAATCTGATAATGTAATGACAATGTATGTGGTTATCTTCAACTAGACTGGTGTGAAATGTATTCAAGTTGGGTAAATTCACTTTGTAAGTTAAGTAATGTGTAGTGATTGAATGTCTAAAGTAAATAAAAATGTAAAAAAGTGAGATACTGGTTATGGTATATTATAAAAAGTAAATATTTAAAATAAATTATTTATATGAGAAAATTGTATTATTAAATACATTAATATGATAAAGAATATCAATAGAAACACTATCATTAAGACTATTTAAGGCCAGTCAAGTGGCATGGTGGTTGAGGCAGGTGGTTCCCACATGGTTAACTGCCCAGTTCAAGTCCTGGACCCAGAGGGCTTGAAAAACACGCTGAGCCTATGTGCGTGCATGCCCAAAATTCCAAAGGAATGGAGTAGAAGGGACTGCAGAGTAGCCAACCCCTCTGGGGATGTGATTTCTTACTTTTCCTTTCTCTCTGTCTCTCTCTAGTGAGCACATACCCTATAGCAAAACTTTTTAAAAAAAGGTTATTTTATTATGTACATATAATAAATCATATACCATTTATATACTTAAGTGTCTTGAGGCAATAAAATGAGGAACGCTAAAAATTTATTATTACTGTTATGTATGAGGAAGGAAGATAAAACACTGGAGTCAGAAGACATGTGTTCAAACCTAGACTTTACCACTTAGTCTTCTTAAGCAAGCCACTTCACCTTACTGGGTCTCAATCTTCCCATCTGTGAAGGCATTGGGCTAGATGCCTACTACTTGAAAGATGGCCGGGAGACTAGCAGTATTAACCTCACCTGGGAGCCTGGCAGAACTACAGCTCTCAGGCCCTACCCTAATCTACTGCATCAGGCTCTGCAATTTAATAAGAGTCCCATGTAACTGGTATGCACATCATAGTCTGAGAAGCCTTGTTCTAGTCAACTGTCCCTAACTTTGGCTGTGCATCGGAGTTACCTGGGAAGCTGGAAAGCTTTAAACACACACACACACAGACACACACATGCAGACACACACACACACACATATACACACACACATATACACACACACAAATGCCTGGGCCCCAACACAAGTACCTATAGTAGCTACAGATTCCAAACTATGCAAGTGAAGCCTGAGTGCTAAAGATATGAAAACAGGAGAGTGATGAGAATGGGAGAAAGCACTTAACCCGGAAACACTTTCTAAAGGAGGTGAGTCATAAGGCAGTGATGATTCTCATTTAACAAGAAGGTTGAGCTTTTCCATGGGGAGGATGGGACTTGAAGAAGGGTTTGGCGTTAAAGAGGGAAGTAACCATTTGATAATAACATGTAGAAGCATAGATTGTTTTGGGAAATGAGAACCATCATATTTGAAACATAATACAAGAAACAGCTCTTTGCGTTTCTCTGAAATTTCTCAGGGCAGATCCAGAAATGATGGAATGAGGATTAAGGGAAAAGGGCCAACTGCACTTTAGAAGCCAACTATGGCAGTGCAGGGAGATGGGGGCCCAAGTGTTGGTTAGTTTCCTTTACTTGCCTTGATGTCTTCACTGAAAAGGTATTTAAATAATATTTATTCAATATTTTCAGTTTCTTGGATTTTTAGATATTTGGTGTAAATGCTTTATATAACTTTAATAGGAGTCTCTGAATCATCTGTTTTCAGAATATTTTGTTTGAGAGATAGTAAGAAACTAACAGCCTCCGAGTTTCCCAGGTAGATGGCCATCATAGAGCCACTTTATCAACATTATCCTGGAGAGGCTGGAGCATCTCCCTCCTGCCTCACCCAAGAGGTTTCAAAGCAAGAGTGAAAAATAACAGTGTCACTCCCAAGGATCTCGTTCGATTTTTTAAAAAGTTTATCATGCTAATCTTATTCTGAGCACCAACTTAAGTCCCTTACTTAAACTAATTTATGTAATTCTCCTAGTGATCCTATAGAGATAGGTATTATCATCAATTCTATTTCACAGGTGAGAAACTGGAGAAAGAAAATAACCTCCCCATGGTCATAGAGCTGGCTAGTGATGAAGCTGGACTGGAAATTCTGCAGTCTGATTCTCAGTCTGTATCCTTGACCAACTGCCCTTAGGCTGGTGAAAGTGGCCTAAGACAGAGAGAGTGAGAAAGGATTGAATACTTTTTTTTGATCACTGGGTGTCATTAAAATCCACAGTGATAGGAATTTGTGATAAACAGAGATAATAATAAACCTTTTTTGAGTACTTGTTTTGCATAGGGCAAGGTACTATATACATATTATCACATTTAGTCTTTTTCTGAGACAATTAATTTTTTTTTGAGAGGTTTTCGCTATAGGGCGCGCGTGCTCGCCAGACAGAGAGAAACATAGAGACAGAAAGCGAAAAATCACCCCCCCCAGAGGGGATGGTCACGCTGCAATCCCTTCTCCACCATTCTCCCCTCAGGATCTTGGGCACGCACGCACACGCACCCGGTGTGAGTTTTAAGCCACCAGGTCCGGGACGTGAACCGCGGTCGACTACGTGGGAGTCCAGTGACATAGCCATTACGCTAACTGCTGGTTCCCAAGACAGTTAATAAATATTAAAATTAATTCTCTGTTTCACAATGGGAGAAATCAAGATTTTAAATTATTCCTAAGAAGTTGGGGATATAACTGGGATATAAACCCAGGTTGAATGGCCTTCAAAGTCCAGCTTCTTAGAAACCACTAGATTTACTTTTTCCTGTGCTCTGGGTGATTGTGGAGGAGGGTAAGGAACCGAGAGGGAGGAAGGGGTTGGGTCAAAGCACACTTACACCTCTAACACCGATACACAGCCAGGTTCCAGAGAATCTTAAGTCCAGCTGTGAAGGAAGAGTGATGTCATGGGTGGATGTGGCTACATGGAGGCACTGGCCCCTGATGTCTCAGCAAGGAGGACTCTGAGGAGGGAGTCTAGAATGGTCTTTGGCAACCAGGGACAGGGTCCTTGGCCTCTTCAGCACCAGCTTAAGGACTTGCCTCTTCCTCCAGCAATACTGACAGACTGAGTCATTGTCTCACTTAGTCATAGTCCCAAGGCCAATACTGCATGAGAAATAGAGGCTAATACAAGAAACCAATAAGGAAACATCCAGAAAACTGGCTATGCCACCCACTCCACCTTACGTAACTCTCCAAAAATCAGGAGACCATGTCCCTTGATTAATAAGGCTTGTTTGTTTTTGAGATCGTAAAGTTGAATCGCATTCTGGATTTGCTACCCACTGAACCTGATCGGGGGGTCTGGCTGGGGCTGCCTTTGGGATTTCTCAATGAGGCTCCAAAGATGAAGTCTAAACCTGTCATGTGGTGAGACCTGTGTCCAATCCACAGCTCTCTGACTTCAGGGAGACCTCTCCATTCAGCAAAACTGTCTCTGACACACGAGCTTTTGCTACTTTCCTTCTGCCCTTGTTGATGCCAGCTCACTCAGCACAAGATGTCTTACATTCTATGTTACATACAAAAGAGCTTATTCGGAGAGGGAGAACCACATGTGCACAGGGTCCCTTGGAACCCTGATGTGCAGTCCTTGCCAAGAGATAGTATGTGTGTCTTCATTTTCATTTTCTATATTGAGCAAAACTTGATTTTCATGTGTACTGCCAGAGGAAAAAATAGAACTATGAGAGGATTCATGATTTATATGCTAAATTTCATACACTTTCGGCATTTCAATCACCTGTCTACTAGCTACATTTCATGCCCTATTGAAAATTCCTGGGTGGTCCACAGGATTCCTGTTTCTAGATCTCATATCTGCACTCTCTAGAACACCAGGGGAAAGTATAGCATGAAAGAAAGAGCACACCCTTTGGTGATAACCTATCTCAAATCCCAATCTGCCTCCCACCAGTTGGGAAGCAACTTTGCCTCCGTAAACCTAATTGTTTTCCTCTTGAAAATAGAGTAAATATTAATATTTCTAATATTTACATTAAAATAAATTAATATTTCATTGTTAATTAATAAGATTACTATCCAATAGGAACATAACATAA